CGGTGGTGCTTCTTTTTTTTCTTAAAGCTGAATTACCTGGTGTTTATTGTGTCTTATTTTAATTATTATTCTGTGTTGGAGCATTTATGTAGATATGAAGAAGTAATACAAGCATGTACCCTTGATGTTGACATCTCAACAATGATTGGGGGAGATATGTCACATATTGGAGAGAAAGGTCTCAACTTATCGGGTGGACAGAGAGCCCGTCTAGCATTGGCAAGGTTATATTAAAAACATTGTGCAGTTGACACTGGAAAGTCCAAAGTTTTTGTACTAACAACGTGATCATATACTTGCAGGGCTTTGTATCATGACTCTGGTGTATACTTGTTCGATGATATACTTAGTGCAGTTGACTCACAGGTTGCTTCATGGATCCTCGAAAAGGCCATTATGGGACCGCAAATGAAGCGAAAAACACGATTATTAAGCACCCACAATCTCCAGGTAATGATTTTCTGATCTCACCAAAACAAATTGTAGCATGTTGTTTCTAAATACATGAAACGAGCATTTAATTTGATAGCAAGAAAATGAAGATAGCTTCCACTAAAACAACAAAATGTTTCCTTTTTTTCTTCAGGCTATTTATGCTGCAGATATGATTGTGGTCATGGCTAATGGATTTGTCAAATGGTTCGGGACATTGGACAGTTTCTTGGCAACTCCATATTCAAAAATATCTAATCCAGATAGTTCATCTGCTGTCTCAGCAACAAGTTCACAAAAAAATAAAGGACCAAGCACCTTTGAATTCAACACTAAAGATGTGCTTGACAATGGTTCAGTGGTTGATCAGGAGGAACAAAGAGATCAGACTGAAGCAGAGGGCAGGAAAGAAGGCATGGTTGAGATAATTGTGTACAAGTGAGTTGTTTTGCAATGTTGTTGATTTACTGCATTGAACAGTGGAAGCTTCTTAAACTTCCTACTACGACTAAACCGAAATGATTATTTCTACAGAAAATATGCAACACTTGCAGGGTGGTCAATGGTATTTCTGATATTTGTGACTGCATTCTTAATGCAAGCATCTCGTAATGGCAATGATCTTTGGTTGACTTACTGGGTGGATAGCAGCTCAGGCACCAATAACACAAGATTTTATCTGGTAAGAGTGCTCTCTATCTAAGTCTACTGAATTTGAACAGTTATTATCATAAACATGTTATCTATATCTGGTCACTCAGAACAGAAGGCAGTGTGTGAAATAAATAAGATCTGATGTGCATTTATGCTCATTCATGATTTTGATCTCTGTAGACTATCCTCGCTGGGTTTGGCATAATCAACTCCTTTTTCACATTGGGAAGGGCATTTTCTTTTGCATATGGCGGTCTGTGTGCGGCAATTCAGATACATGCAGATCTTCTTGGCAGTCTAATCGGTGCCCCGGTTTCTTTTTTCGACCAAAATCCCAGTGGCCGAATACTGAATAGGTTAGTATGTCAGGAATCTTCAGCAAACTCTGCAATACAGAAACACCCTTGATGAACTTTATGAACTTCCAGATTATCGTCAGACCTCTACACTGTTGATGATTCTCTTCCATTTATCCTCAATATATTTGTGGCCAACTTCTTCGGCTTACTTGGCACCCTTGTTGTTTTGTGTTATTCACAGGTAAATATGCAATAGTTTACTATAATTCTAATGTGGGCCAACATTATATTCAAATAAACCAATTCACTTAGCTTGTAACTCATGAACGTTCCCACACAGGTTATGTTTCTACTCATCTTAGTCCCTCTCTGGCTTATCTACAGCAAAGTGCAGGTACTGTTATCGATTTCCTTAGTTTGTGCTGTTCTTCACTAAGGCTTTGGTCCTTAACATTCTTCCAATTTTTAAAAATTCATTATTCGAACATTCTCAATACATGTTATATACTGATATATAACATGCATTGAGAATGTTCGAATAATGTGATAAACTGATTGGCACTTACCCCGCAAAAAAAAAACTGATTGGCACTTATGGTATCAACTATAAAGTTCTACTGCATAACATGCATTTCAGGAGAGCCTTCCACAAAACTGAAAACAGACTGTAAGGAGCTCATATGTAGTGCAGAACTCATCTTGTTAGCCTAAATACATTTACAGTGGAATCTGATTCTTTCGCACTGTACACATGCTCTACTTTTTGAGAAACAAATTAACATTCTGTGCAGTTCTATTACAGGTCGACATCACGTGAAGTACGACGGCTTGACAGTGTTGCTCGTTCACCTATCTATTCATCTTTTACAGAGACACTTGATGGTTCATCAACGATAAGAGCATTCCAAAAGGAGGTATGTTAATTACATCAAGACTACTAAAAATTATATGAAGGATACCAGAGCCTTTACCTTCATTTGAACCTAGCTGTTACTCCCTCCGTTCCTAAATATAAGACCTTTTAGAGATTTCACCATGAACTACATACGGATGTATATAGACATATTTTAGAGTGTAGATCCACTCATTTTGCTCCGCGTCTAGTCTATAGTGGAATCCATAAGAAGTCTTACATTTAGGAACGGAGGGAGTAGAACTTTAAAGCTCGAGTGACTTGTGTTGATATGATTTGTTCAAGATACTGACGGTAAAATACACAGGATTTTTTCTTAGAGAGGTTCATCCAACAACTGACACTATATCAGAAAACATCCTACTCTGAGCTTACTGCTAGTCTGTGGCTCTCACTAAGACTCCAGGTATAATTCTTTGTCAAGGGATAGTAACTTCATCTTCTGTTATGAAACCATGAAGCTTTCTCTATTAGTTAGGCCTATTGCGCAGTCAATGTATTAACTAGGAGATCACTTTAGTTGTTGGCAGGGTTGATCATTTTATTCATCGCTGTGATTTCCGTTGTTGGCTTCCATAGCAACTCTCCTGTTAAGTTTGGTACACCTGGACTGGTAAGTATGACAGGGAAGAAATTACCAACTCCAGGCTCATTTTTTTACATTTCTGTTCCTGTTGAAAATATTGGTATGTTTGAACTATATAGAATTTAAGATAGAGAAAATACACTGCAGGTTGGCCTGGCGTTATCGTATGCAGCACCTGTTGTATCACTGTTGAATAGCTTCTTAACCACTTTTACAGAGACAGAAAAGGAAATGATCTCTGTTGAGAGGGTTGTTGAGGTAAAAAGCCAAGAAATATTCTGCCTGTTAGTGACAAGCATATTTTCCTCTAATAATTCAATAATGCTTGCAGTATGTCGATATACCTCAAGAAGAACTCCAGGGATCAGAATCTCCTGATAGAAGTTGGCCAACAGAAGGGAAGATTGAGTTTGAGCATGTAACTCTAAGGTACAAAGCGGATCTACCACCAGCTTTGGATGAAATATCATTCCATATTGAATCTGGCATGCAGGTATGGTAACTGTCTGCACATTCTTATTTGAGTCATTCAGAAAACTACCATTAAACTGCCCTGGTTTATTAGGTTGGAATAATAGGAAGGACCGGAGCAGGAAAATCCAGTATACTGAATGCACTTTTCCGTTTAACTCCAATCTGCAATGGTCGCATCTTAGTAGACGGTTTTGATGTGGCCAAAGTTGCTGTCCGAGATCTTCGTGCACATTTTGCAGTAGTACCGCAGAGTCCGTTTTTGTTTGATGGTTCTTTGAGGTAAACTATTAGTTGCTCTTATTTCTCTCTTTTCTGACTTGTACAATTTTGTGGGCATTGGTTGGACATTTAGAGAACTAAACAGAGAAACCTATCTCCAGCATTCTAATTTTCAGTTGACAAACAGGGAAAACCTAGACCCTTTCGGTATAACAACAGATATCAGGATATGGGAAGCTCTTGAAAAATGCCATATGAAGGCAGAGATAGAATCAATAGGAGGACTCAATATCCATGTGAAAGAAAGTGGTGGATCCTTTTCAGTAGGCCAGCGACAACTCCTATGTCTCGCCCGTGCTATCCTAAAATCATCAAAGGTATCTATACTGTGTTGGTCTATTCAAAATTTCTGCAAGTTTCAGCAGCAGCAAAAGTTTATGATGTTAAGTTGCGTGCCACGTAGTTGCTCAAAGAAGTTCAACTTGCTAATGATTCTACAGGTACTTTGCCTTGATGAGTGCACAGCCAATGTTGACAATCAGACAGCATTCCTGTTACAGAATACTATTTCTGCTGAATGCAAGGGCATGACGGTCCTCACAATAGCCCACCGCATTTCAACTGTGATGAAGATGGACAATATTCTAGTTCTTGATCAAGGCAAACTGGTAAGTCATGCCATTATGCTTTTGTAACCTCTTAGTGATGATATATACCTGAAGAGTCAAAATCTGGATGCAACAAAATGCTTCACAGAAATGAACAAATGGCAACGTGAATCAGATGCCCTTCATTGGACATCTGCAGCAGCGTGGTTATACTATGTTCAAATCATTAGAAATGCCCTTTGCTCACCTTGTTAGAATAGTATCTAACTCTGTTTCCTCCAAATTTAGGTTGAAGAAGGAAACCCGGAGGTTCTTATGAATGACAACAGATCAAGATTCTCACGATTTGCTTAGGCATCTATGTAATCCTAGGAAAATCATGTGCTACTCTGTGTTGTACTGATAGATGAAACACTAGGGCTTAGTTGTACCTCTCACTTTGATCACTAATACCTTCTTCAGTTCACATGCGCATCTAAGAGCTTATAGGAAGCCTGATCCTCTAGCTTATGAATCGTTTTGTCGGAACTCAAGGTTTTCTGAAATGGATCTAGGATGGAATTTGCTATATCAAAGTATTATCATGACAGCAAAGTTGAAATGAACCCAGATGAAATACTCATAAACCAGCAACCACAACTGAACCAGGCAAGTAAGCAGTAACTGCATTAAACGGTACCAGCAAATCTGGATCCAATTTCAGGTATATAACCTGTCACCCGAAGTGTACGTATACAGGGGGCAGGAACAGGACTGGTTCATTCCACTAACCTAATCCCACAGGATGGGAGGGGAGGAGCGGCGGCTGGTTCTGCTCAGGCGACGTAGATGTAGTCGTCGTCGCTGTCGCCGCGGCGGCGGACGCGGTCGGGGTCGACGGAGCAGATGACGTAGGCGGCGTAGAGGACGCCCGGCAGGTAGCCGAGGATGGTGAGCAGCACGCTGATCCAGAACTCCATCTGCGCCAGAAACGGGGAGGAGAGAGAGAGAGAGAAACACGGTGATTAGCCGGCAAAGAGAGGGAGGGGGACGGGGAGGTGAAATTGGTGGCGTACGGAGCAGCAGCCGTGGCGGAGGCAGACGCCGAGGGGCGGGAGGAGGATGGCGCACATGATCTCCAGGCACCGGCAGCAGCACGAGCACAGCCCCATCGCGGTTCGCTCGCCCGCAGCTGTCTCCGGCTGGGTTGCTCGCGGTCGCCGGACTCGGAGGCGGGGGCGGAGCTGCGGGAGGGGAGGGGAGCTGGACCAACGATGCGTGCGCGGCTCTGTTTTTCTGTGGGGGAGATCGCGACTCGGCTGGTTGGATTGGGAGACACGGAGACGCGGGCCTCGCGACTTGTGCGGGTTGGGTTGGCTGGAAGTTCTGCGAGGCACGGCAGCTCTGTCTGTTGGTCCCGCTTTACAGGTCAGCTCGGGTTTTATCACACGCTCACGTGTCCTATCAAATTGCGTATTGAGCGACAAAATCTGAAACGCTACTCTCATTCTCTGAATAAGCATCAACCAACATTCCAGTGCCGATGGCCATCCAAACTGAAGTTGAAAAAACAGTTCCTTTTGTTTGCGGGGAAAAGTTGAAGTTGAAAAAGCACCATTAGAGCATCTCCAATCCTCCTCATAGTCACATCATCTGTTCAGATGAATTGAATTGAACGGACTGTCCGAAAAATCTCACAAAAGCCACTCATTTATCCGAATTGTCGTGATCGTCTCAACCTTATCCCAAATGTGGGGGCGGAAATTGGATTTTGCGGACATGTCTGGCCATGTTGGCCTGTCCTGATCCATCCGTTCCAATCCGCACCAAACCCTAAGCCTAACTCTCACTCCCATTCCCATCTCCTCTCTCCTCTTCGGTCATGTTCGGATCTAGATCAGAGTCCAAGTCCAACGGGTGGACTTGGAGCGGTGATGCTCAAGTCGGGGTAAAAACTACAAACCGAAGCCGCCCAAATCTTCTTTCACTATTATCCGATGTGAGATACAACAAGTTTCATCTGTTTTTCTTTTTGTTTCATTTCTCTCTCTCTCTCTCTCTCTCTCTCTCTCTCTCTCTCTCTCTCTCTCTTTCTAAGCAATTATCCCACGTGGCATCACTAATATATCATCATTGTACATGCCCTAAGACATCATAGAGTTTACATCAACTTTTCCTAAACTATACTTTCTTAAGATATCTCCCAGTTGCTTCCTTGATTTGTAGGTCTCTAAAAACTCAAGAATAGAAAAAGCGCATGACCTACATGAATGGATTTGCATTGAAGTTTATTTTCATAGGAAGCACATAGAATTTCTTCCAAGAGGTCAGAGGAGTGAATGAAAGTTTCATCTGCACGAACAGTTCCAGAGTTCTTTTGCTCGTTTCATCTGCACGTAGGATTTCTTTTGCTCGTTTTTTTAATCTCCTTTATGCGTTCTTTCCTACTCCTACAATAATAAAATGTAAAATTCCTTAAACTCAACGGAGTTCAGCAATCGGCAGGCTGAGCTTGTATTTGGGCAAGGTCCATACAAAGATCAATGCAGGGGATGCATTCAGGGGATGGCCACGGTTTTATTGGTTGGTCAGGCAACGAAGACGTAGGAGGCGGCGGCACCTGCGGACTCGTCGTCATCATCGTCGTCGCTGTTGTGGGGGAGGCCGTCACAGACTCATGGTAGACATAGACGAGGACCCAGACTGCGTAGACGACGCAGAAGGCATAGCCCATGAAGTGCACCTTCACTTCACTAGTTCTGAACCCCGCCGCCGCTCATGGAGGCAGCAGATGGAGAGCGTGGTCATCAATGCGGAATTCAAAGGAAGTGGATGACGGGCAGGTTTAGGGTCCGACTGCTTTTTTTAATGAAAAATGTCCGAATTACATTGTAATGAATGTGCTCTAGTTTATATGAAAAATCATTGTGTTTGTATGAATTTTATCCGGTTAGTTGAAATAGTGTATGAAATGTATGCGGGTAGTGTTGGATGGCCGAGTCCTATATGCGTGTCCACGGTGGATGTGGGAGCAAATTTACGGGCCAGTGTTGAAGATGCCCTAACTAACTGGATAAAATGCCTTGTAATTAGGCTACAGTTGGGGGCAGTGGCACCCCCAGGACTGCACGTAGATCCGCCGATGAGGAGGAGTCTTACCGACTCCTATGTCGACCTTCCGGCAGGCGCAGGAGGAGCACAGGTACAACATGTTCCTCCTCGAGCAGCACCGGCAGGCGGAGGGCCAAATCTACGGCAGGTGCGCAAGCGAGTAGGCCGTGGCCGCCATGACCGCGGCGAAATCGAACTTCTTTGCGGGGCAGCAGGCGCTCTATGAGGCCATGCGTGCTCAAGGCGTCGCTCGGAACGCAGAGCAAACGCGGCTGTGGTCGCACAAGGACTGGCGGCGCAGACGGTCGTGAACTCTGACGCCGCCAGCTATGCGTCCTATGCGCCGCCATCCAACTTTCGAGGGTGCATGTGGCAGGTGGACAGTGACGGACCGTCCACATCCATCATCGACCTCATGTTCACCGGCGCTGGCGACGAACAGGTCGGGGACTCCTTCGAGGATGAGTAGGGCGTGGGAGGCGACATGGCATTGTGTCCCAAGTGGGCCAGTCTGTCTCTCATGTTCTACTCTTCCTCGCCGGAGACTGCACCTTCACTTCACGAGTTTTGAACCCCGCTACTGCTCATGGAGGCGGCAGATGGAGAACGTGGTCACCGATGCGGAATACAAAGGAAGTGGACGACAGGCACCGCGGTAGGATATGTTTAGGGTCCAACTGCTTTTTTTTAATAAAAATGTTTGAATTATAATGAATGTGCTTTGATTTATATGAATATCCGCCATGTTTGCATGAATTTCGTCCAATTAGTTGAAATAGTGTTTGAAATATATGCGGACAGCATTGGATGGCCAACTTCTATATCTGTATCCACGGACGGATGTGGGAGCAAATTTATGGGCCAACGTTGAAGATGCCCTAACTATGCAAAGACCGGGTACGTGCTCATTGTATATATACTTTGATGCTTCGTTTTTAAGCTAAAATTCGCCCTTTTGTAAAAAAAACACAAAGGAGGCACAATAAGGAGGTTGGATTTAAGTGGGTCAACTCAATTTTGGTACAGTGACAAGACCTCGCCACAAATAATCTTGTTGGGGGACTGACAGTCCACACGGCATGGAATCATCAAACACGGTCAGGCGACGAAGACGTAGGAGGCGGCGGTGGCGGAGTCGTCATCTTCGTCGACGTCGTCGTTGTCGCCATTACTGGGGCGGTTGAGTGCGACGAGGAGCAAGACATAGAAGACGGCGAGGTAGTTCCGCACGTAACCCGTGACGGGGGCTTGAATAACGAAGAGAAGGCAAAAGTAGTAGCCGATGATGGTGCGCAGCACGCTGATCAAGAACCGCATCTGCTCCGGCACCAAGCGGCAAGAAAAGAGTGAGCGGCAGCATCGGGTGAATCAGCTGGTGAAAGTCGAAAGGTATGCATGCATATGCATGGAGGAAAGGAAACATGGGGTGTTCGCTCGTCGGCGGGTGCTTACGGAGCAGAAGCCGTGGCGGAGGTAGACGCGGAGCGGCGGGAGGAGGACGGCGCACAGGATCTCCAGGCACCGGCGGCAGCGCGAACCCGGCCCCGTCTCCATCTCCTCCTCCTCCGGTGGATGCTGCTGTCTCCGGTGCAGGTGCAGCTCGCGGTCGCCGGAAGCGCTCCTTGCTTCTGATCATTTGGTGGAACGGAAGGATATATACATACAGTATTTATTAGACTAGACTTTTCCGGCTGTGCCAGTTACAACTTGCATATTTTGGGCCAGGGTTGTCAAGTTTGACCCGTCGACCCGTCGAGTCGAGTTTCGGCAGGAGCGGATCTCTTTTCTCCTATGCTAGAGACCAACCGGGTCGAGGTTTTGTAGATGATTTTTTCTTTTCTTTTTTGAAACCGGTTTTGTGGATGATCGTAACACAGATTTCGTGTATGGCTCACTAGTCACTAGTCACTACGATCGGCCAAGGATGAAACCATTTGACGATGCCGACGTCGAGGACAAAAGGCCACTTGAACTTGAGCTACAAATGAGCAACCGGGTGAGCCGAGCTGCAAATACAATACAGCGCTGCAACTGGCACATCACGGCATCACAATCACATCCTGATTTATCTCCGTCCGAAATTACATCAATTTCCATTCCGGACGGAGGGAGTACTTGCTTGACTTACCAGAAAACTGAACCAACATCCCCTCAAAAACAAAAAACAAAAAACACAAAAACAAAAACTGATACCACACACCAGGATAGCAATATGCAGGATTTTGTGTCTGACTCGCTACGGTTGGCAAAGGATCAAAACCTCACCCATTTGTTACTACTGATACAATCACCTGGTTTTTTTGTTTTTGGTTCCAGTGCTGGACACTACAGAAACACGGATGTTGGTGAAGGTTGGAATCGCTTCCAGTCTACTGTTCATTTCATAACAATAAATCGTATTTAACTGTCTCCAGCTACGCGAGCAATAGGATACCCTGGGTAGTTTCTTACCCAGAGAGTTGACTGATGTTGTACACCCGAAATCCTGGAACATAAGGAGGAATTGCGTTCTCATTTGCTATATCAAGAGATGTAATGCAGTATGAAGGGTGTATTGACAGACCATACTACTCCCTCCATCCGGAAATACTTGTCATCAAAATAAATAAAGAGAGATGTATCTAGAACGGAAATATGTCTAAATACATCCCCTTTTATCCATTTTGATGACAACTATTTTCGGACGGAGGGAGTATTTCGGAAGGGGAAAAAAGGGCACATGATGCACTATTCTCACAGATAAATATCTATCATGAACGAGGTTCTACAATACAGATTGTGTTATCAACACCAGGTAGAGAAACAAAGAGCAAATTCTCACAGGCATAAACACTTATTCTACAACTGAACTTTACGAGCAAAAGGAATTAAAAATGTACCGCACCACTACAGTTCTGTTGTGTAATTGTTCATATCATACATGAATACCTGGAACAACCTTTTCCGGATGCCATACGTGATTTACTTCGGAAATTGCTATTGTCAAGCAAGTTTAGCAGCAATCACCCCAGCAATCGTTGCTGCCAGTGACAAGCATTTTTTCCTGACCCCGCATCTCCATCAAAGACATTTTGTGTATCTTCTCTACCCCATGGGCATTGCATCAATCATGCCAAAAGCCGTAATTGTGCACAAGTTTGAATCAACCAGGTCAACTCAGTTCCTCCTTATGCTGTTCTACATCAGAACATATAGAATCTATCAAGCAGAAGTACATTCTTCCATGAATTAGACCATTATTTTTAAGGCGTCCCTAAGGCGTCAGGGCGCCCCCAGGAGCCAAGGCGTCGGCCTTGCCTTACCTGTGTGTCTAAGGCGTCCGCCTTAGTCCATAAGGCGTCCAAGGCGTCCGTCCGCCTAGGCGCCACTCTGCCTGCCTTAGGCAAATGAGGACGCCTTAGACAAGGCTGGG